CAGACACTTAACCAACTGAGCCACCCAGGCGCCCATGACTTTTTCTTTTTTTAATGTGACTCAACCCAACAAAAATTTATAGGACTCCTACTTCTCCCTGCTGCAATGTATAGTATAGTTTTCTTAGAAACACTCATTCCTAACAAATATTTGCAAAAACCACGCTTCAAAAGGGAGAGAGATGTGACCATTTCCCTTGGATGCTCTCAAAAAGCCGGCCAAAGGGTGGGGTGGCGTACCTTGATGGCCAAGTCACAGTGCTCGCTGGCCGTGGTGAGCTGCTCAATGTGCCTGTCCACTTCAGCCACGGAGAGGCCACAGCTGCTCTTCTTCCTGCAGCAGACAACATTCTCCAGCCCCGTCAGCACCCTCTGCAGCTCCGAGTTCAGGTCACTGCAATTATCTGTGAGCAAATGTGGATGCGAGGAGTTAAATAGGCAGGTGGGCAACAACGAATGCTCTCTGTTTCACTTACGTGAGGGACCCAGTCACGTAAAATGGAATGGCAACGGAGCTTCATATTTCCAACTTTCATGCCACGTGGCCTCATCTTACAGGCTGCTGGCACTGCCTCTGAGGCTTAGAGCCAACATAAAGCCTTAACTTATGTTGGCCATTTTCGAGATAGCCATGCCATGCTCAATGCTCTCGTCTTTCCCTGGAAGACAGCTATGTTCAAATTCTTTGGTAAGAATGAAGAAGGGTCCCAGAAGGGGCTGTTGGGACTTCAGAAGCCTTCTGGTCAACTTCCTCCTCAGCCATTCAGATGAGCAGACTTCAGAAAGAGTTTCAGCTGAGATCTCATAACTTTATTAAATAAACAAAACAAAAGGCCCAGAGTGAACAGGGACACCAAGCATTTAAAAAAATAAAAACTGTTAAGAGACAGTCCTTGCCTTCAATGAGCTTATAATCAGGATTTTTTTTTCTGATAAGACCACTGAACGTGTTCTACCATTGCAATTTAACCCCCTTTTCCATCAGGGGAAAAGTAAACTGTTCTAATAAAGTTCATTTTGTTCTCCATGTCAAGGTCTTGTAAACAATTCCAATAATTTGATTCGGACTTAAAAATATGGGTTACTTTTAATTGCTGGACACCTAGGGCCTGGTTTGGGAAGAAAAATTAATTATAATTTAATGTGAACTACAAATATTTTATAAGATAATTTTGTTGGGGAAAAAAAAATCCCCTTAAAGCCAAACCCAAATAACCTGTTACTTTGGATTCTTTTCTTATTGCAAGACAGGTGTTAGCTCTAAGCAGCCTCTCAGGGTACATTCCTCCTGCATGAAAGGAGCTCAACGTCTACAGTTTCTCTTCTCCATCCTCCACCCCCTTCCTCAGTACATGCACTGCAACAGTCCATTGTTTTTGGTGTTTACCTTTGGAAGACTTCAAAACACTCAGTGGGCTTTATCAGAATATTTTGGCCAACCTTATTTGACTGCCCGGATCTCCAAGTTACCTCAATCTAGAGAGAAGACAGCCTGAGGCTTTCACACCAACCAATGGACCCAATTATTCACCCTCCTCTCCCACCCGTTCCTGCCCATCTCTGGAAGGGCATCACCATCCACTCAGTTACTCAGGTTAACTCTCAGGCAAGCTTCATTTCTTTTTGCTTCATGTCCAGAACCCAATCCATCTTGTGAGTGCAACCGCCAAAGTTTATCCCCAAAGTGAGTTCTTCTTACCATCTCCACAGATATCAACACAGTTCAAACTACCATCATTTCTCCATGGAACCACCTGAACAACCTCCAACCTCCGCTCCCCACACTGCAGCCAAAGTGAGCCTCTTAAGGACATAAGTCAGCTGTTATTCCCCTAGCCCAGACCACTTAATGGCTTCCTGCTGTCATTCAACGAAAGTCCAAACTCCTCACCAGAGTCTGTGAGACTCTGCATCATCAGGACTGATGATGTTCTCAACCCAGGCGGCACCATGGAATTTTCTGGAGAGCTTTTATAAATTACCAATGTCCAGGCCCCACCCCAGACCAATTAAATCACAGTCTCTGGAGGTGGGGCTTGGGTACTGGGAACATTTTTAAAGTTCTTCAGATCACACTCACGTGCAGCCAGCGTGAGAACCGCTGACGCTGTCCTTGCCTCATCTGCCCAACTTCCCTTCCCCCTCACTCCATTCATACTCCTGACCTTCTCTCCATCCCTGGAGCATGCCAATCTCCTGTCTGCTCCAGGACTTCCTTTTCCTCTGCTGTTTCCTCTGCCAAGACAGATTTCTACCCAGGTCTCCACTTACTCAGTTCTTAGTTCAAATGCCACCTCCTCATCAAGCCTCTTCCCTACCTAAAGCCTGGGGTTCCAGCTCCTCTCCCAGCTCAGTCCCTACCCTATTATCCTATCTCCTTCATGCCAATTACCACTATCTGATCTGACTTAGGTGTTTCTTATCTTATCTCTGCTGAAATGTGAAAAGAAGAAACTTTGATCTTCCTCACCAGTGTGGAAGAACAAGAATAGATCAACAAGAATAGATCACTATTCTTCAACAAGAATAGTGTAGGCGATCAAGAATTAGTTTTAAGTGGGCAAATATGAACCTCACATCATATATTTAAGAGACAGACAGACTACAAACACAGGCTGCCAGTAGCATCATGTTTTCTATCAACCTTACTCTTTTTGTCCTCATCACAGACCATGCCCTGAGCTGCTGACAACTGAGAGGCACTCCTCACTGTAGAAGGCTCTCTGGAGATGGAGTACAGGCGCCTACCACCAACTCAAGGCCAGGAGGTCCGGAGCATGCCAATAGAACTGTCTCTGGAGCACACTTCATTCTAAGTAATAAGCAGAGAAGTTTCTCCAAATCATCTTTTACCTCGAGGTGCAGGGTTCCTGCTCCACTGTGATGGAGTAACAGACACTCCCGAGTGACTTGTATTATTTTTTTTTAACTTTTTAAAATGTTTACTTATTTTTTTTTTAATTTTTTTTCACGTTTATTTATTTTTGAGACAGAGAGAGACAGAGCATGAATAGGGGAGGGGCAGAGAGAGAGAGGGAGACACAGAATCTGAAGCAGGCTCCAGGCGCTGAGCTGTCAGCACAGAGCCTGACACGGGGCTCGAACTCACAGACCGCAAGATCATGACCTGAGCCAAAGTTGGATGCTTAACCGACTGAGCCACCCAGGCGCCCCTAAATGTTTACTTATTCTTGAGAGAGAGAGAGACAGAGACACAGACAGAGACAGAGCATGAGTAGGAATGGGCAGAGAGGGAGAGAGACAGAATCTGAAGCAGGCTCCAGGCTCTGGGCCGTAAGCACAGAGCCCAATGCGGGGCTTGAACTCAAGAGCCACAAGATCATGACCTGAGCCAAAGTCAGATGCTAAACTAACTGAGCCACCCAGGAGCCCCTGCATGATTTGTATTATTAAGTGCTTAAAAGTAGGATGAGGAATAAAGACGCCGCTATTCAGCCATTCCATACGGATTTCTCTAGCACAGCTGCACTTAGTACAGTGGTTGCAATGTATCACACGTCTGCTGATGGTCTCTCATGGCAGGACCTGAGAGGTGGAACCAGGCTGTATGCCAATGATATTGGGTCATAGGGAACAGGAGGAGGGTATATAAATCTGGCCAGTGCGTCTTTCTTATTGCTTAACCAAACAGTTGCTGAGCCCCGCCTCAAGCTAGAAACAGGATACAAAAATGAATAGGAGACTCTCCTCAACCCTGAGAGGCTCACAGATGTACGAGAAAATGCCACGGTCCCTTCTCTCAGCTGTCTACCAGCATCGTGGGGAAAGTGACCATAGGGAACATGGTGCTAGTACAGGATGGAGAGTCAGGAGAGGGGATGTATATTAACATACAGACTGAAAGCAGATGAGCGTCTTCTCTTCAAACCAAAGAGAGCTATAAATGCTTTCTCTGGTCTTAGGAAGCCAAATGTGTAATGCACAGGTTGGAAGATGAACGCCACACACTCCTGCCTATTATCCGCAGAGCTCTGCACCGTGGCTTTACACGAATCAGGGGACACTTGGCTGTCTCTTGCTATTGTTCGGTTTAGGAGGACAAGGTGGCTAGGCGGGCAGAAGCAGATATTCTCCACCCCCCCACCCCCCATAGCTGAGTGCCGCCCCATAGCACGAGTCACTCACTACCATTCACCTGAGCACTGGGGCTGTTCCATACAGGGTGGAGTAATCTTTCTGAGTCTGTGGTATATTCCTCTAGATACTGACTTGGAATAAACTCTCCATCCCTTCTCCTGGCCTACAGTGCCCTGCATCATCTGGCTCCTGCCACTGAGAGTCTCTACAAAAGGTGAGCGAGATGAAGGGACTGCTTGTTAAGGGACCAGAGGAGCAGGATAAGACAGGGACCAAATATTCCAGACTGAACAAAAGGTGCCTCATTTACAAATCAAAGCCACAACAAGGTATCACCTCACACCCATCAGGTTGGCCACTATTTAAAACAACCACCGGAGAAAATCACGTGTTGGCGAGGATGTGGAGACAAAATTAGAATCCTTGTGCTCCACTGGTGGGAATGTAAAAGGACGCAACCGCTGTGAAGAACAGTACGGCAGTTCCTCAAAAGTTAAAACTAGAACTAGCCTATCATCCAGCAATCCCATGTCTCAATCCAGTTTCAAAAGAATTGAACATAGGGCTCAAACAGATACTTGTCTGCCCATGTTCATAGCAACCTTATTCACAACAGTCAAAGGTGGACGCAATGCAAGTTCGCTGACCAACGAACAGGTCAACGAAATGTGGCCTATACAAAACAGAATGTCATTCGGCCTTGGAGAGGAAGGAAACTTGGACACATGCTACAACACGGATGAACCTCGAGAACATTATAGTAAGTGAAGTAAGCCAGTTAGGAAAGGGCAAGTGGAGGACTCCTCTTATAAGAGGTACCTAGAGTAGAGGCAGAAAGAAGCACAGAGGTGACCAGGGACTGGGGGGAATGGGGCAATACACACTTTCAGTTTGAGAGGATGACAAAGTCCCGGAAGTGGGTGGTGGTGAGGGTTGCACAACTCTGAATGTACTTATTGCCACTGAACTGCACGCTGGTCATGGGACGGCAGCATGAGGACCACACTGAGGCAGACTCGCTATAGTACCTCAGGCTGTGCTGTGCCTTATGTCACAAGGTGATGGCTTGGTCCCTTGTCTAGAGGACAAAGAGGAAAGGCCCTTCATACTGAATACACATTCTGTTAATGGAGTTAATGGAGGTTATTTTTATCTTTCCAAAGAAGAATCTCAAGTAGCACATAGCAAACACCACATGTAAGGGGGAAGGACAATAATCGGAACCAGGGAAAGGCTGAGGATGCAAATGGAGACTCACACAACTGCTGGGGCGGACAATTCCACTTAGCCCTGAGCTTCCTGGCAG